CTTTCTAGATTATACTTCTTTGATGAAGTTATATGAGTTAAGACTTATAATGTATTGGATATTCAAAATCATTTTAATTTTATACTATGTTATGAGTGAATAAAATATAATTCACTAAAGTTAAGAACAATATTATCAAGTCAAACAGAAGAAAACTATCTGAACAAGAGAAACAAAAATTATATTGCAATACCTACAGGTGAGTGGTTTGAATATTAATCCCTTCAAATTTAAATTATTATGTTCAAATTTATCTCATTCAGAATTTGGCTAGAAACAAAATGTATGTTAAATGTGTTAAGCAACTTTTAGTAATGAGACATTTTAATAAATTTAAATTCAATATTATTTGGCAATGAAAATAAAGAAGAATATGGTAAAATATTCTTCCTAGTCTATAATTTTGCTATGCCAAAGTATTATTAGATGCTTTGAATTTTTATTAATATGTACTGATAATTTTACATTAAAAGTCCAAGAAAGTCCTATAAAAGAAATTTATTATGTGCTATTACCTAATTTTTAAAAATTAATTTTAATGAAAACACGAATTTATTACACTATTATACCAAACTAACTACACACTACGAAGAAATGATTCCACTTAGATATATAATTCAACTTGATTTCTTAAGTTTCTCATGCAAGTGACCTTGCCTGTATCAATGACTATTTTCTGCAATAACTACGCTTTCTTCAGAAGGCAAAAGTGGATCTGATCAGCTGAGTTGAACAGATAAAAGGAAAAAAAAATCTACACCCTAAGCCTTATAGTTTAATTTGTTTCCTTCTCTCATATATAAGATAAGCTTAAAATGAGAAGAAATAGAAATTCCAAATGCTGTGCCCAGTATTTTCCTTCATTTAAAAAGTTATATAGTTTATACATTTATTAATATTTTGAATTGTTTTATATTTTCCCTGTAAGTCAATATCTTTCAGTAAACAGTGTCAGGGGTAGGGAGAAAACAAAAATTGCTATTTGTATGTTTCCAGGAAACTGTAACAGCTTCCCTAGAACTGATTTAACTGTTATCTTTCTTTTTTTAAATAGCTTTCACATCTGAAATATCTCAGGGAGTTTTGAGAATTATATAATATACTATTTTGATTTATTCGTAACAAGCATTTCCTCAAAGCAAAACAATATGATAAGAGACATTCCTGGTACGTTGGTACATTGTATTTACAACACAAAAAAGCAAACAAACCAAAAAACCCCATCAAGTTAAGGTTTTATATTAAGTATAAGTCAAATTTCTTTATTCTAGAAATTTTGAAATTATGAGTGCTATTATGTAACTAATATTAATGAAGAATATCTGTGCTATACTCTAAAGTCCTCAAACATCCTCCCCAAATCTTATTCAATTCTCACTACCCTCAGTCACTCAGGTTTGTTTAATGAGGTCATCGCATTGAGTAATATAAGATGCCATGCTGATCTTTAGCTCCAAAAGTTGTTTTCTGTATTTATAAATCTTGCTGCACCATCATATTTTCATATGTAGAGTTCATTTGTTGAACAAATAATTGAGGGTCCACAGAGTGCAGGCACTATTGTTGTGTGGGCTTACAACAAACAGACAAAAATCTCTGCCCTCTTCCACGCAATGTAAACTAAAAGAGGAGGGGGTAAGGATACATAGGAATCTCACTCCTTCCAGAAACAACACTGAAAAATGCATTTATTTTCTTCAGCTCTTTCCAAATGAAACTGTGAGGCAATGGGAACCTATCAAATCACTGCTTCCATTCCTCTCATAAGTGTTTAAGAAGGTGTTTGATTTTTAAAATTTGTTTGAAAACATCAGCTAATCATATTTCTCCACGTAGTTTCTAGCCCACTTTAAATCAAACTCTGGGACTCTGTCAAGTACATTATCTGAAACATTATTATGTTTAGCATTAAATAGACCTTAGGTGTTCCTAGTTTCACCCTGTAATTTTACTAATTAAAAAAAAAGAAAGAAATTTAGAAGCTATAAATTTCATGTCACTTGTCTAAGATCACATTGACAAGGCTAAATCTAGAATATCAGTGTGCAAAATACTACATGATGATACTTTAGAGCATATTATCAGCCTCTTTTCTAAAACATAAATTTGTTCATATAACTTTTCATAAATGAGTACAAGTACGCTTGAAAAGTTATCAAAGTTACTCATCACAAATTCTGAATAAATGGTACATCAACTCATGAAGTTGTTGAGTTCTTTAGGTAATTCTTAGGCAAAGAGCCATATGGGATCTAACTATGGAGCATGCCAGGATTTGAACACTCCATCAACACAAAACTGTGGCAATAAACTCAAGCCTTACTGTGAATATAAGTATAATTTAAAGCATTTTGAAAAGAAGTGCTTCTTAAGCTATAATTATGAGAACTCAAGCATTTTTATATATTAGAATTAATTAGAAAACTTCTGAATTAATACATACATTGGCATAATAATGGCAAAGCTTTGGATGGCCTTTCCCTGTGCAAACAATAAAGGGGGTTCATTTTGTGTAGAGAATTTTAAAACAATAATAGCAACAACTGTCACCCGGCGCTGGCAAGTCAAAACATGTCAAAAGTAAAATATTCCTCTCTTGAAAATATCTTTTGTTCATCCAGGTTCTAAACAATTACTATTGAGTTTTAACAGCCCAACTCTTATTGAGTTTTGAATTAGCATCTATTTATTTCTTATTCTTTAATAAACATTGTACTCCACTTGGAAACTAATTTGGAGAATTCTCATTATACAGCTCACTCCCCCAAGATATGTGAGCTCAGCTACACTTGCATGTTTTTGGAGCAAGAACTTAAGGTTCTTGTTTTTTTGTTTTGTTTTGCTTTGCTTTCACAATGACTGTGCAATCATTATTTTGAGTCTACTATATAATTGCAGGAATATGTAATGTTACAGGAGCGAATGTCTCAAAATTCTCTCAAAGCCAGTTCAAACTATTTTGAGCTATAATGAATTTGAGTAAACTTTACCTAATATGAAAGAATTTAATGTTGAAGTTTTTGAAGTCATTATGGTGGAAAATTTTTGGACTTCCTAGACATTTGAAAGTTGTTAGAAATGATCCCAAAGAAACAAAGACATGGACACTATTGCAATTTCTGGAATTTATCATGAAATGGGATTTTTATGAATCTGTGCCCAACTTTCTAACTATGGTATACATGTTAGAAAGAAACTTTTCAAAATTAAAAGTAATAAAATTATGAATGATACCTGGACAAATATGACTATACCATTTATTAAACACAAATACATGAAGATCCGTTTTGACAAAGTCATTAAAAATTTGCAGAAGTTAAGGCTCAGAAAAATTATAGTGTCATTATTCATTACTGTATAGCCAGTGAGTAGCTGTAAGTGCTTTCCCCTTTCTTTAAAAAAAAAAAAGATGTAATAAAAACATGTTAATCTGTTATTTTGTTTTCTTTGCATATTGTATCAGTTTCCTATTTCCGCTATAACAAATTACCACAAATTGAGGGGCTTAAAATAACACAAATTCATTATCCCATAGTTCTATAGGTCAGAAGTCCTAAAAGTGAGGTATCTGCAGGGCTGCATTCCTTCCGTGGCCTCCAGGAAAGAATTGGTTTCCTTGCCTCCTAAACTAACTTCTAAAGGTCCTCTGTATTGCTAGGCTGTGGTCCTTTCCTCCATCTTCAGTTCACCAAGTAACATTTTCAAATCAATCTCTCTCTCTCTCTCTTCCTCCCCTTCCCTGCCATGGGGTCCCCCGGCCCCAAGATTTATATATTGAAACCTAATCCCCAGTATAGTGGTATTTGGAGGTGGGGTCAGTGGGGTGTGATTGGGTCATGAGGGTGGAGCCCTCATGAATGAGATTAGTGCTCTTGTTTAAGGGACTCAAGATAGATTCCTTGTTCCTTCCTGGTCTATTAACTAAGAAGCAGCTTCTCATCAGACACCAAATCTGTTGGTACCTTGATCTTGGACTTCCAGCTTCCAAAACTGTGAGAAATCAATTTCTGTCATTTTTACAGCACCCAATCTCTGGTGTTTTGTTACGGCAGCCCAGGTGGACTAGCACATTCTTTCTCTCACTACTTCTGTTGTGATACCTTCTTAATTGTGACACTTGTGCTTCCTTCTTTTAAGGACCTTTTCAATTACACTGGACCCACCTGGTTAATCCAGGATAATCTTCCCATTTTAAGATCATTAACTTAATCACATCTGCAAAGTCCCTTTTGTCATAAAAGGTAATAAATTCTTATGTTCTCAGGATTAGGCCATGGACATTTTGTGGGAGCCATTTTTATGCCCATGACATGTACATATATACTGTAATATGTATTTATACATTCATTAATCATATGAATGTATATACATGTTCATATACATTATACATAAATATGAAGCTCAATAAATGAAAATTTTCATTGTCTTTTGTGGCAATTATTATTATTTCATTCCATGATTATTATTGAAAAGAATTTTGTCATATAGAAGAAAGAGAATGTTAAAACTAATCAATCCTAGTGTAAAATATTCTAGATATGTTCCTGGTAAATAGTCTGCTATTCCTCTTAAATAAACATATACCTCTTGTAAATAAAATAATTATTCACAGTAACCATTTGTGGCTCATTCTTTTAGTTAACTAAGTCAAATACAATATTTGTAAGCCACCAATCTGAAAAAATAATGTTGCAAAACTTTATTCATAAAAACTTTTTTTAAGTGTAAGATTGAGAAGGTCCTTTGTGGGGGGGGGGTTGTTGTGGATGTTTTCAACACTGATACAGTAAAAATGTCTACTGACCATTTTCCTTTTGTTACTTATTCCTTTAGAAGCAGATGTCCAAATATCTTCCTGACTTTATACAGTCTCAGAACATAGCAAGATACATTTGTTTGAAGCAAGATTCCTAATGGCATATGGAGGCATTGTTTTATCTTCCATTTTCACAGCAACTAAGATTAATGAACAAAGAACAAGTGGCTGACATGAAGCCTACCCATGGGGGTGCCGACGCCATAACCTTTGGAGTCTATGAGGCCGCCAATCTGTGTCAGGTTACAGTTCCTCTGAGTGACAAACTCAATGGTTGTTGACTCCATTAGGAAAGCATAATCAGAGGTGAGGACTCTCTGGATTCCTTCTTCATTACTTTTGACGAGCACGGACTGCCTCCTGCTACTCATAAAGGCCCACATTTTGTCATATGTGGAGATTTTTGATTTCTGGGGAAAAATAAAATACATAAGAAAGACATTTCTTAGTTTCCACATGATCCTACAATATTTAGATGAAATTGACCATATTTAGTTTGCTCATCCTACCTTATAACTGTATTAGTAATAACAGTGATACTAAGCCACAAAACAATCAAAATCTGTATAAAAACATTTCTCATAGCAATTCCTCATCGTATTTCCAGGTATAGAGCAGATTTCTTTAACAAATGTATAAAAAATGTCCTGATGTTCAAAAGTTCACAACTAGTAAATCATAGGAGGCAATAAACAAGAGAAAATAAGATTAATAAGGACGGTTTTTTGTGTTTGTATCTCACATGAATATCTCATGTGTACAATTTTATCCTTCAACATTACTATAACATCAAATTTGGAAGATGCAGACACTGGACACTAAGAGGTTTTTTTTTTCCCCCCGAATTCAGTTGACTATAAGACAGATGTTACATTATCCCCCAAGGATAACATACAGATATAGGTTGAAGAGATGAGAGGAACTTGTTACAAATAAGGATATTACAAATAAGAATGACTACATTTCTGCTAAGACACAATCGGGACACCACAGAACTTCTTTTAACCTGCCTCAGGACAACAGGAAATCAATCATTCAGGTCTTACTAACTAACGATTCCTGGACCAAGAAAATAGAAGAGTTTTTACATCCAACCGGAAATTCTCAGTAGGGCTTCAGTACGACCAATTGCTAAAGGAAAGAAATGGGTTTTGTTCAGAAGGCACTGGTAAAACATAAACAGGAAAAAGGTTAGCATCTGCTTATGGAAAGCTCGTCTGTGAAACCTTTATCTTAGTTTAATTCTTATACAATCACAAAAAATAATACTGCAACAATAAACACAAGGATATTCACCATACTGGTTGCTCTGTCATGAAAATTCAAAACTATTTTCAAATAAATAGATATGCAATCTTTTGCAGCTTAAGCGTGCATTTAGTCCTACATGTGCCAGGACATAAATGCGATATTACTCCTTCCACTAAAAGGTAGGTACACAGTAATATTTAGAAAAATTCTGGAATTATTTCAATGATAAAATGGGAAGAAAAACCTTAATTTTGGGGGGAAAAATACCTAAAGGTACAATAAGTGCTTTATAAAAACAACTATCTTTAGAGCTAAGAAAGGGTAGACGTGTAAACCTTTGCTCTCCAATGAACACTAAAACATGCTAAAAGGCCAGTGGCTTAAAATGGGAACGAAGGCGGCTAGAACCCCCAGAATAAGATTGATATGATTACAAATTTGGGCAGCTATGGAGGCATGTCAGTTGTTTTCAAGTAAAATAATCAAATGTTAGGAGTAGAAAAGGGAAATGAAAGGAATAATTAAGACTATGATGAAATTCTTATTGGAATAATTTAGACCAATAGTGAGATTTTGCAAAGATGTATCTGGCTATCCAAATTAGTAACATAATGAGGATAGCTAGAACAAGTTCATTTCCTTTCAAAGGTAAAGAATTTTTCTCCTAATGTTTTGGATTAAGTGAGGCCAAAATACAAAATAGAATCAAAATCAGAGCTCACCTGCAGATTAAAGAGATTTTATGTAAAAAAAAAAAAAACTTGGATACAGTTTTTGATTTAGTGAATCTGTGACTGATAATAAACACAATCCAAAAATGTAATACTAAAAATTTATGTAATCAAAATTACATGCTCATTTCTTGACAATTTAAAATGTAACATCTTTAATGGAGACTGATAGTGTAATATCATAACATGGGTGTACTCATTGAGGCCAAAAATCAAGCAGAGATAAAAAGTGTACAAAAAGTTATTCTTACTTGTATTGTTCATAAATCTCCTAAATTCTCTGCCTTATTTTAGTTATAGGAACATTAGCAATAAATACATTTTATTGCTTTAGTTACATGATTTTCAATTCATGATAACATGTTCCATCACTGAAGAGTTAATTTAAATAAAAACTTGAGGACTAGTAATTTTGTCCAAAACAAAGGGAGAATATAATGTTTACAATGGCACTAATCATTTAAATAGTATAATTACGTCTTTCTCTTTTTTAACATTAAAAGAAAATTTTAGTTTAAACATTATGCAACACAATTTAAAAGAAGAGAATTACATTTTTAACAGTACATGAATGTATCCATTATTAATATTTTGCTGTGGTTAATGAAGTAAACACATCAATCTTTTTAACAGAACCCACACCCAACAAACTAAGATATATTTCTAATATATTCTTTACAAATGTATAGTTTAATTTTACATTAATGTGAAATTTAGTTATTTTACATTTGAAATGTCTAATCTACAATACTAACCTTCAGCTGACAAAATAAGGATTTTAAAAAATATATTTTTATATAAAATTCTTGGAACACTTTACTGCACTGATTTTTTATCTCTATGAGCATTTCCTAGAAGGTACTATTTATATTCATTTTGAAACTAATCATTTCCTATCTTTTAAAAAAAAATTTTATTGGAGTATGGTAGATTTATAATGTTGTGTTAGTTTCAGGTGTACAGCAAAGTGAATCAGTTACACATATACATATATCCACTACTTTTTAGATTCTTTTCCCATATAGGCCATTACAGAGTACTGAGTAGAGCTCCCTGTGCTATTCAGTAGGTCCTTATTAATCATTTCCTACCTTCCATTATTACTTAAGTATCTCTTATTTTCTGGAATCTATTGTCTATGATTTTTGTACAGGTTCACTCATCTTTCCTGTCTGCAGAAAATATAAGTATTTCTATTGTTCCTATATGGCATAATAGGTTTTGATAGAAAAGTTACCCAAATCGTTTTGTTTCTCATAATAAAAATAAAAAGCCAAATAATAAATATTTCAATTTAGAAATATTGACTACTTGCTGCTCACACACATTCTATATGGCTTGCTTGCTTGTTTTGCTGCCATTCTTTAACCACAATTTCCAACTGAGCACAGTTATCTCTCAATTATGGCTGTGAAACACAATGCTGTGTAGAAAAGATATGGGAAGTAAGATTAAAAGCCATTACTACCTTTGTAGACTGCATGTGTGTATGTGTGCGGTATGTAATGCCATTCAACTCTTAACTTCTACAGAAAGTTGAAATAGAAAATTAATCTTTAGCATTGCCTGCCAATTTTATTACTTTTATCATTTTCAGTAGTGAAGATGGTATAGTGCATCACTGGTTTAAAAACACAAGATCTGAACAACATGAATTTTACTGAAACCCTTAAATTTAAAGCAGCTAAGATGGCTTATAAAATATTTGAAGAAAGTATCTGAACAAACTCTTAGGCTGAATATGAAGATTACGAGGCTTTTTCCCTATAAATCTGGCCACTCATAAATACTTGATTACCTATACTTAACTAATATATAGATAAATTCTGAATAATGTAGGCCTGAGCCAGAAGTAATGATCACTAATTCTATATCTCTTATTAATAGAAGATATGTCCTTATGCAAGCCAGTTAATCTTTTAATTCCAGTTTACATAATAGTCAAATATCTTTGCTAAACTTACAGGGTTTTTGTGAGGATCATATAAGACAGTACGCATAAACACACTATGCAGTAGTAAGAAATTTTTGTAACTCCAATTATTTTTTAAAAAGAGAGCATACTACTCCCAAGTGCTTGTGTTTTATTTTTCTTAAGAAACACTGAGTATTCTGGCAAAGATGGAAGGTTGAATATCATCTTTGAACACATGTCCTCTCCTATGGCATGAAACCACAAGGCAAAAGAGAAATGGATAGGGTGCAACAAAAACAAAATTTTGGAAGCTGGAAAGCAGATAGATGAATTGTAACTGAGCTAACCAACGTTTAGGACCCCCTTCTCCCCTGTAAAAGTTTCTGAGATTGGCATTTCTACATCCTTCTCAAAGCCGGAATGATCAAACGTCTAACAAAAGTAGAATTTATTGAAAAAATGTCTTAAAAACAACTATCTCTGAGCAGCTTGGTGACTGCTCGATCCCACCCAAGCAAAGGACTAGAGGTTTTATTCTCTGGGAAGAAAACAAGAGTGCACTGGAGGAAGTGGAGCTACCGGGGCCCATACTGAAACCAGAAGGAAGAGGTTGGAGTCTACAGCCCATGTTGAGACCAGTCAGCATTCTGTCCGTTTTGGTTCTTTGAATTCCTCCAAGAAGATATTTTTAAGCAAAACTGGACTGCTCTAAAGAGATAATAATAATATTAATAACAACAATAATAGTAATAATAGCAGTTAGCACATATAATAGCATGTGCCAAACATTATTCTAAATTATTTATACGTATTAAAATTTTTTAAGTTTTACAAGATTTCTAGTAGGTGGTAGTATTTTTGTCCCCATTCTAAAATTAGAAAACCAAAACACAGAGTGCTTTATAATATGCCTAAATTCATGTGGCCTCTTCCTAGCAAAACCAGGAATCAAACATGGGCAGATTAGCTACCAAGTTCATAGTCTTAATTATTGCACTATATCAACTGCATCTAAAGGCACATATCATGGATTTCCAACAAAACAACCCACTATATCACCCTAAAGTGAAGCTCATAGTTTTTCACACTTAACTAAGCACCCAGAGCTTGCAGTGAGTCTCTAACCTAAATTATAAAGACCAAAACAAATAAAATGGCATAACTGTCTTCAGAGAGGTAATAGATGCTGCACAAATGCAAAGAAAAAAATGTAAATGGACTCTGTTGAAAGAAAATGCATTCAGAGAACAAATACATATTAAAAATCTGATATCAAAAATGGAAACCTCAAGTGAAATGTAGAATAAAAGAGAATTTAAAACACTGCAATTGGCTTGACCTCTAATTTCAGAACATTTATATTAAATACATGTGGAATTATACTGATATGATACTCTAAGATCTAATGTGTAAGGAGGAAATAAGAAGCCTCAGCTAGTTTTAGTTCTAATAAAATAGAAAATTGTTGAACATTTTCAAGGTAAAATAGACTGTAGGATCTCTAAGGTTAAAA